TGGGAGAAGAAGAATGATGATATGCCAAAAGGCGGCGAATACAGGCAAGCCCTGAACTTGTCACACTTTTAACAAGTGCATATACATGCATACATGGTGATTCGGACGAATATAATATCATATTACTTGAGAGCTGATCTTCGTTGAGGATCGGTATATGCATTATTATTGTGAGATTATTGCCTCCATACAGTACGTACGTACGAGCCTACGACGTCCACTAATATTAACTAGAGCGGCTGAGACCAGATCAGCAAGGCCATATTAGTTAGTAGCTCTCTCGATTTGATTTATTACAGGGCAAGGATGAGGACGCCAGAAAGGAGGAAGCTAATAAAGTGCAACGTCGCCAAAAGGAAATCCTGGGATCGCGGTTGTTGCGTGTCACAGCCTGGCTGCAGAGACATTACTATGTATCACGCCGTCACGTCTACACATATGCACTACATATCAGCTTGGATTTGGGTGCGTTTTAACTAGACTTCGCCTTTAAATTTTTATTTTTATTCTCCTTCCGCAGCGAATAAAGAGTTACTCGGGCTGACTGGTGTTGCATGGGATGGAGCAGCTTTTTTTTATTTCCCCGAGCTCGGCCGGTTTTATCCCTAATAAGCGCCGACTAGAGCTGGATCTCTCTGGCTGGGCTCTTTTCTTCTTCCCAGCATGGTTTCAGGAAAAGTGCTACGGCGAACAGTTGCTCATGCTTGCCTGAGTTCGTTCTTGCACTGAAGGCACCTTTTTGAGATGCGTTCTGAGCGGGGATCCTGTGGGTATGATGTCGTCACCGTGAGTCCGTTTGATCACGGTCGAAATCCACGATCTTTGTGACATCCGTTGGATCTCAATCTCAAAGATCGGCGCCCGTATTTGGGGGGGGCATCAGAGGGATGATAATTTCCTTAAAAGATGCACACGATCTGTTTTCCCCGGTTTCCGTTCAAGCTAAGATCTTCTCATGATGACGATTCTTCAGGGAAGTGGGAGTTCCCCAGACCTCGATGATCGGTCTCGGATCTTGGGAAGAACCAGGAGAGGGAAGGCAGTGCTCCATGTCATTATTAATTGGCAGTGCGTAATTGGGCTCCGACACACTCTGTCAGCGACAATACCGCCTGGAATAACCAGCATTTTGAATACGGAAGCGCCGGGCAACAATGTCATCTCCCGATGACACAGGTGATTGGATCATTTGTTGATGTGCGATGGGAGATGAAGCAAAGTGGGAGCTGGAAGTTGAGACAGAGCGATATCACATGGTACAGAGGGCAGTGAATACGAAGGTTATTCTCAATCTCTTTTATGAAACATGCAGCCCAGTGGTGCTGCTAGCTGGGCGGTGCATGACAGGAATGTCGGACACTAGCTTTAGCGAGAGAGTATTAAACTCTTGACGGCAGGCATTGCAAAGCTGAGCAAACATATAAATCCCAGTCTCTCTGCTTTGATACTACTTTTGAAACATCAACAGGAGGGCAATGGGAGGCGTCTAGGGCTACATGCTGCCGTTGAACTCTTGCTCGAAGAGAGTTTGCTTGGAAACAGTAAATCACATCATGACAAGATGGAGCTCTCCGATTGATATATGGAATGGAGTCTATATATTAGATGAGAACAGGACAGAGACTCCCGCTTCTCAATTCAGGGACATGCTGTTAATCTGCTCCATACTCGGTAGGGCAATACAACAGTAATAATTCTGATAGTATACACTACATCCTTGAAGATCGCAATAATATAGATTGAGCGAACTGTTTTCATGCGCATTGACGAACCCATCCATCAGAAAACAATCTTGAGCAGAGCAACCCGACCTGATTATTTTTAGCCAGTCCAATCATGTATCAAACCCTTTTTACTGTCGAAGAGACCCGAAGAGTTTCAAAATCTCCCTCTCCCTCTCTCTCTCTCTCTCTCTCGCAATCCCCCTAACTACCTACCCAGTTTAACCCAAATGTTTACAAGCTCCCTTGGTGTTACACGCATCGTTACGCTCTACTGGGATTCATCCCCCAGTTCGGTCCTGGGGCACCGCGAACACCTCGCTTGGGATCTTAAGAATCTTGACTGCTATTGCCTACAGATACGACTTCTTGAGATCTTTGCACTTTTTTCACGAACAACTCCCCTCCCCCCCGAGTTTAGATACCAACTGAAGCTAGGATTAAACCGATATGAAAAATCCAAGCACAAGTTCCCCGGCGCGAATTGATTGCAAAACACAGGCTATACGAAATAGTTTGGTGGCATTGAGTGTAACTATCCCTGGAGGTTTAGGTATGCCCCCCGGTTGGTCAGAGGGGGAGCGGGTGTTCGCATGTTTGCGGCTTTACGGCTCTCTTTTTTCCCCAATTCTTTACATATTAGCTAGTTATGATTTCGTATGTATGATGAAACACACACCTCGCTTCCGCCGGGGGAGCAAAAATCCCAACGCAACAATCAGTCAGGGAAAAAGGGATTTGACTGCCTAGCATTCTCGGTTTGAAATTGAGCATGAACAGACTGGGCTGCCGACGGCCATCGGCAAAAAAAAAAAAGGAACCAAATAACTAATGGACCAGCGTTCTAAGCATTCCGTACGACTGACCCGGCCCTTGGTGTTTCACTGCGAATTCCTTGCAGCCCCCTCGCTCCGCTCCGCTCCTTTTGTGAAGGAAGCAACCGATTTGGCCCCCTTTTCCGAGCAGAGAGTTCTTTCTCCGTTGGAAACGGCCCAAATCTCACAGAATAAACCCATATTAGGATTGGGAAATGGAAAGGGGGAACATCAACGCACGGCTAGGACCGGCCATATCCTTCCGATGGGTAAAACATAATTAAATATCTGCGGGATCGCCGCTGCTCCAAGGTCCTTCAGATCTCGCTGATGAGATGAAGAGGTCTCGCAAGTGATGGGTGGTGCGTCACTCCTCGTGTGAACCGATCTTGCGGGAATGGCCTTTTTTTTTTTTTTTTCAAAAGGAAGACATATACAAGCATTCCTGGGCATGTTCCTTGACCGTTGCTTGAGGGCTTGTTCTGATTCTGTTCTGTTCTATCCGCTGGATATGAGTGATGGAACCGTGGCGTACAGTGTCGGCGGTCTATGCCGTGAGATTGATGATACGCCAGAATTAATGTCATCTTCCCGTTTGCTATACAGGATCTCGAAACTCTGCTGGGCTTTTTTGTCCATGTGGCATTGGCAGCAGTGAGCTAGTTATTGCTGGTACGCGCTTAGTTGTCCGTCAGACCTGCGTTTTCGATTTTCGAGTGGTCATTCATTCATTTCAAACGGACCGCTGTCCCTAGGACGTGCTCGAAGATTTCTCCCAGAGATCGGAAGTTTGACCAGTATAACAAATAGTTATTCTGTGACACCAAGCAAAATCGCTTTCTTTCCGCGATTTCTTACATTTTTCTCAAGTTTTCCTGAAAACGTTCTTCTCAAGGGGGCAAATGAGCCGATATTTGCAAGGCTTTTGGTTCATGATTGCTGGATCCCAAGCCCCCTATGGCAAATATCCTCACGGTTCTAATTATACACTTACAATTTAACCGAGGCGATATGACAATGTGATTATATGATTTACTTCTTATGAGAGACGCAGATTGTCATCCTGAAAAGGCGTCATCAAATGATTTACGGGCCCAGGACAGGCTCGAACGGCGACAAATAATCTACTGGAGATCTGATCGCCGTACCACTCTGTCAGTGTGACCTTGTTGAAGATAAAAAAAAACCATTGGTTTTGCCATCCTCATTTACATATGAAATACTGAGATCAGTTTTAAAACCATCATGATGCAATATTCCTGCCAAAAATATAGAGATTACCACCAAAAACGCAGAGCTTATCTGCTGTACTGATTTCCTCACAAAAGCTGTTTTCTCAACTCCGCTGTCACGGCAAACTCAGCTGGCCCCCTTTTTTGTGGTGCAGTCCTTTTTTCGGGATTGGGACAACATTAGCAACGATGAGATATTGGCTAACTCTCCATGAATCTATCCTGCGCAGACACAGCGTGATTGTGTGGTCCGGTTTGTGTTTCTCGATGGTGTGTGGTTTGACTCTTCGTTGTGCTCCGCGATTCCTCCCATTTTTTTTTAACCAGATTTTCACCACGGGGCTTTACATAACCGCGGTCACTGTCGGACAAAGGCGAGTTTCGGAAGGCCATCACAGTATTTCCTGCTTGCCTTAAACAAACCGGACAAGTTCGGGCTTACGAAGCTTCACAGAACAACCCAGCAAGCATCAACGGCGCCGAGAGCGCCCTTTTTTCTTTTTTCACGGCAGATGACGACGACAGCCAAAATAGGTAGGCGAGATAACAGGCTAACGGAGGCGCCGTTATGCAACTCGGCTACTTTGCTTTGAACCGAGGGACGATGGCCAGATCTAGCTCCTTCCCCATGATGAACTTGACTTCAAGAGCCTCTTGTTCATACATCCCCGAGTTCGCCGACCAGAACGGCGACATCAAACCCGCGCGGTGCCTGCTTCAAATGGTAACTTTGGTCACTGACTCATGCAATCTCACAACTTTGTTAAGTTAACTAGCGAGTACTACATATGTATGTAATGCTTGTTATAGTGGCCTGCGTTATCAGGTCGCTACCGCAAGATGGTTTTGTGAACATCCACGGTTCTGGAGAAGTATGGAAGAGACCACTCGATAAGGTATGTAGTTATATAGGGAGCTATGTGTGACTGCGGAGATTAGACAGCGAGGACGTAAAGCTTGAGTTTATGGAGTGGAAATGAGCCCAAATTCATGTGATAACGATGTAGTTACGCCGCAAGCTTTATTCTTCATCGCCAGCTTCGTGTGTAGGTAGTAGTAGTAGTTAGTTAACTATGTGCTCAGGAGGGTTGGAAGCGAGAAGCATATCTTCGATTGGCGTTGGGATGGCTTTTGCAGGCGATTATTTGCCGAAAGTCAAGGAGGATATTGAACAGCTGCGTAATTACTGTTTTGGTATAATATAAATAAATCTCTACTTAGAAAGCACCAACGGTTGTATAGTGTAGCGGTCAGCACATCAGATTCTGATTCTGAAGACCTGGGTTCGATTCCCAGTACGACCTTGAATTTCTTTTTTTTTTTTTTTTTTGCGCTTCTCAACTTCCAAGTTCGATGTAGATGTAGCTTTATCCGCAACTGATTCTGAACACCTCTCTTTCATTCATAAAGCTGAGTGGCATACAGGAGATCTAATTCTGAAAGTCTGGGTTTGACTGTCAACTACTGAGGAGTTACTGAGTCAAATCATTCCATACATATGTATCCAGAGAATGGATAGCAACTTGACATACAAACATAGCATCCCATATAGTGTTTGATCAAAAATGCAGTCTTTCTTTCTTTCTTTTCGTTTTCTTTTTGGTGCTCTAGGCACGAATCAGCAATGAATCCATAAACAGCAGGAGATGTAGTAGGGATGATTCCGTACACCCGTTGATGACTGCCTATATATACATGCTTTCCCTCAGAATCTATGTCCAAGGCATTTTCACTTGCATATTGCATCCACATACGATTACCTGCATCATATACGGTGTTCCTGATCTTCCCTTTTCCCTCTTCCTATCTGATGCGTACGCCTTGTTTGGTCCCTTTTCTATGCTTCTTGGAATCCTACCTCTCTAACACGGGCATGGGATTAAGCAAAGTACACACCATCTAAACCACGACATGCGTATTAGACGAACAGTTGCTAAGGGCGCCTGGGTAGTGCTGTCCGCGGTTTGGCGGATGCCGTGAGAATAAAGCACTCGACTGGGCTCCCCCGTTTCCAGAGGCATCACTGTAGATGCCACTTTCCCGCTCTGAATCACCGAAGTAGGGCAAAGCAACTGGTGTTTCTGTCATCATGCTCCGAATCATTATATCACTAGAACAACGATCTTTGGCTCATCTCTTTCTTGGCTTCAGATAGTCTTGGGATAGTAGTTGATTTGTTGTAGGCAACCAAATAGCAAGAGCATGGTCTCATCACACTGGAAATACTTCATGAGATGGGATATCTGGGGTTACAATCAGACACAAAGCACTGGTTGCCTTTGACCACGGAATTCATCCAGGATGCCCTCGGCATGGTAAACAGCTCTGATTTTCCATCTCTTGCGAGTAATGGTGACATCTTCACTAAGAAGGGGGATAAAGTATTCTGAATGTAATCTTGCAGAGCTTGACTTGGTGACAGATAGATGTGAGGCCCTTCTCTCCTTGCTACTTCGAAAAACCTCATACCAGCTTCTTGCTTGTTGGTCCACAGCCAGAAGAGTTCTGTTTGAATACAGCTCTTGCCAATCCTCTAGCGACAAATCCGGTGACAATCTTAATTTTTGTGGCACATTCTGTTGAGAGGAAGGACCGTAGGCCATGTCTCTCCACATCTCACCCTCCATACTGTGTAAAAGCACGGAGAGCTCAAGGAAAGGACAAAACATCCCCACTATCTGGAGTCCGCAGCATCAGGCCATTCTTCGGTTCCGCAATTGCAATAACGGAACCGTAGTGTCAGTGACGTTTGAGACATCATTTCCGCGCCGTGTTGTGGATGCAGCGGGCCATCATTATGGCCAGACGACAAATGAGCTGACTAGAAACAGCTTTGCCGATAGTAGTAGGTGAGACGCGTCCTTCTTTGACCAGTCGCTGCGATGCCTCAGTCATAGAACGCTAGCCACGTAAGTGTTTGGGTCCGTCCTGGGGAGTCACGTCGTTCTGGAAGACCGGCAAGGCTTAGCTGTAAAGCATATTACCACCGGAATTTGCATACGTGGTAGTGAGACTGGCTCGTCTAGCTCCGCATTACATAGCAGGCAGTGCTCCAAAGAGTGCTGAGCATATGAAGCGGATGTGAAGCCGAACGCGTCTCAAGCGCGGAAGCAGGCGATGGAGCTGGTCATGCATTTGAAATGGCATCTGTCGTGTGTGGCTGGATATCATACGTGGTGGTCTCAATTCGCAGCTTGATGCAACTTTCAGGCACTGCATCCTCGAGAGATATCAGGAAAGCCACGGGGGCGCAATAGAGAGTGAGAATGCTGGTAATCCACTCCGTAGAGAGGATGTGAACGGCTCCAAGATCGAGGTGAAGCCAATGAAAGAGTTATGTAGAACTCTGATGGCGACAACTCAAACAAGCCATCGCCTACGCGCACCACAGATCATGTAGGATGAAGAAGAAAACACTGCTTCTTGTCTTTATTCACGGGTTTCAGGTATGATTCTGCTATCTCGCACACCTACGATGAGGTCCTAACTCGAATGGAATCGCTATCTAGGGCGGAAACGACACCTTTGGCAACTTCCCTGCCCATCTGCGCGCCATCGCCAGCCATGCGCTCCCCAACATCGACGTCGTCGCCGTGACATATCCGAAATTCGAGACGAGGGGTGATTTGCAGGAATGCGTGGGGAGATTCAGAGAATGGTCGGTCCCGTTCTTGCAGTCCCAAGAGAGGATATGCGATTTGATCTATACGGGCCAACACTAAACACTCGCACAGGCTACAGAACATCGTGATAGACATCGAAGTCTCTAACAATGGGCCCTCGCCTACCGTCGATCCATCCGTCCATGTCATTCTCATTGGCCATTCGATGGGTGGAATCCTCGGCGCCGAAACCATCCGCCTGCTCACCTCTGAAACCATCCTACCTACACCGAGTCGTTCCTCCACATTAAACCCATCATCGGGATTGGGGGATAAGCCAAAGCAAGAGCAAGGAGCAGCCAGCCATGAAGCAAACCCATTCATGTTCCCTCATATCCAGGGCCTTATGGCCTTCGACACTCCCTTCCTCGGCATCGCACCCGGAACCGTGTCTTACACCGCGGAAAACCATTACAAGACCGCATCCGCCGCATACGGCGCAATAACCGAAGTCGCGAATGTATTCGGCTGGGGCACGCCGAAAAAGGATACCACCGCCTCCGCAGAACGCTCGAGCGGCAACTCCGCTCCGCTAGCGCTTCCCGCCCCAACCTCCTTCTCCTCCTCCGCCGCCGCCACAACCACCCCGGCACGGCAGCGCTGGGGCCGCTACGCCCTGCTCGCCGGTGCTGCGGGTGCTCTAGCCGCCGGCGGAGCTGCTGCGCTGTACACGCAACGCGACCGCTTCTCCGCCGGCTGGACCTGGGCGACCTCGCATCTCGAATTCGTCGGATGCCTCGCGCGTCCCGAAGAGCTCCGCAACCGACTTGCTGCGCTCGCACAACTCCACAAAGACCGCGGCTTGCACTGCGCAAACTTCTACACACGACTCGGCCGGGGCGCCGTTGTCGTGCCTCCCTCGGAGACACCGAGCGCCACCACCACCACTGCTGGTGGTAGTAGTAGCCCACCACAACCGTTTTCGATAAGCAGACATATTCTCCGATCGACAGTCCGCACGTTTTGCAATCTGCCGCAGGACGTGGAGAACAATGCGCGACACCACGATCGGGCGGGCGATGAAGTCGCGTCGGGTTCGAGCGAGGCGGGGTTGGAGTGGATTGAGGCGGTGAACGATAAGGTCGCGGATGAGACGAAGGCGCATATGAGCATGTTTCTGCCGACGGAGAACCCGGCGTTTTATGACATGGCGCACCAGGCGCGGGATCTGTTGATCAGATGGGTTGATCGCGGGTGGTATTCTGCTGCCGCTGGCGGTTGAACCTGAGGGTTGGCGGGCAAAGTGGTGAGTAGTAGGGGGGGTTTTTGGTTGGTTCTGAGGATGTGGTTTATCTTTGAATAATCGGATCTTGTATGTTGTAATTTATAGGTCTAGCTTGAAGGGTATTTGATACTGCTTAGAATATTATTATCTATTATGATTAAGGAAGAAGAAAAAGAATGGCAAGGTGGAGCAAGGGGGAAAGAGTACGCTCGGCTTTACTGAACTTGCATGTGCAAAATGTGATGAGACAAAATTCATGTTGGGAGTACAATCCAAAATCCATGGACCAATGTGCGCCGGAAGAGACCATATACCATCAAAGCGCTACAAGAATGATTTGTCACAAGAGAGTTGACCCAACAATTAAAGACAAGAAAAGAGAACAGTCCGCAGCAATTAAAAAGCCTAGTGTGAATTGATGGTTGGACATCAAACCACGAGGGTGTTAACGCAGCAAGAATCATTTCTCTAGGACACTCAAATAAAGATGAGAGAAAAAAACATGTCATAAATACTGCGTTTAGTAAGTCGACTGTCCGCCATAAGTCGACGTGCGGTGGTGATATAGGCTGCCTGCGTATTCCGAATTCGTATCATGGTATACGGTGGCTCGGCGATCCTCTTCGGGAAGAAGTTCTTTGACTTCCCAATTGTTCTGTTTTAAGCCGACGGAGAATTCGAGATCTTCTTTGGTAATCGAGTCCCAGTACTGCAGCAATGGTTAGCCTTTGTTTGCACGAGAAATGAGAAGAGATATCGAATCAACGAGACACAGCTTACTTTGTAGATCATCATGACAGCAAGCAGGTTGCATAGCGTAGCAAAAAGCAAACCATCTAGATAATGCTGAACGTTCTCGCAGATCATATCACTGAAGGAGTATAAAATCACCTGGCCAATCACGAAAAAGAATACACCAAAACTAATGTGCCAGAGCGGCCAGCGGTCTTGAAGAGTATTCACAACCAGGATAATTTGCATGACCACATAGACAAACAAGCATATGGCATTGACAATGTAGACCACAACGAAAACCCCAATGGTATTCGTGGGAGAGAGCCCGGCCCAAGATTTGAAGGTTAACAGTGACACAGCGCCCGAAACTATGAACATTCCAAGTGAAGCGAGTCGTAAGAGCCAGACAGAAAGTTTTGTGCCGTCTTCATAGAGCTGAAATCCCACGAATCCGTTTATCAATAGGCAGGTGCAAAGGGCGGAGGTTAAGCCATTCTGGACCGCAGCAAAGTACGGGACGATGGCGCTTCCTGGAGGTGCAACGCCAGAATCCAAGACGAGCGAGCACATGGTTAACGCCATATAAATGTAGAAAAGCGTAGTGATTTCCTTGCGTCCTGTTTTCAGAGTAAGGCAATCATGTTAGTGCCGAATGAAGACCAGATTTCCGTCCCATGCAGCG